TGCAGAACTGTGTCTGCGCTTGTAGCTTTCGTCACGACTACATGATGGGAAAATTTGAGTGCGTCATACGCAAAGAGAGAGGAGTTACAAAAGTAGTTGCAAAAGTTAGTTAGCAACCTAATAATGATCGCAATCAGCGCATCAGACAAACAACTTGAGCAGATTTTACAACAAACCTGAGCAAAAAAACTTCTTACCTTACTCTATAGTAGACTACTATATGCCAGTAATAACAAATCAATGTAAATGTTGCTTTCAGCACAATGAGTAACTCTAATCAAAAACCGCCACATTCCAGCGCACTCTGGCGCACTCTGGCGCACTCCGCTGAAGTGCGGCGACTTTTTTGACGAATTATAAGCGGTATTGTATCTGTTAATTTTCATACTTGCTGAAATGCAAGCCCAACCCACGACTTGTTGGCCTCAATGCTTGAAGTCAGGAGATATGGTCATTAGCGGTCGAGAACGAAGATGCCTGTTATCTATTTTTTGCGAGTGAAGGGTTTTCTGCCTATCACGGAGGTTGCTTATATAAGCAACGTTTGAGTTGCAGCCTGCTTGTTGTTGATCGAGACAAAAAATTAGAATAATAAAATTAGCAGTCACATTATTTTCCGTTCAGCCTATTAGAATACTAAAATCTAGGGTTTCCTTTGTCGATGACTTTAACTTTGTAGCACTTAGCCTCCCTGATGATGTGCTACCTGCGGTCTTGCCACGCTATTTATGGAAACAATAATCAGTTCACGCAAAGATCACGCACTGCCAAAAATCATCTTTAGCGAAAAGGAACCGTTCTTTCGGGATCAAAATGCTAGTTTGAAAACCTAAGCTGCACACTGTTTGAAAGTGCTGCTTTGTTTTGATATGTTTGGAGAAACCCACAATGCTCTCCTCTCTATGGGAGTATTCCGAAGACTTTACCCCAGTCCCTGGAGGATCATGCGCGGAAGCACAGCTATCGACGTCGGAGAGTCTCCTGAATGAGGTTTTCGGGAACTTGCTATCTGTTGGGAGCATTTCCAGCTTATTTACGTGCATGTACACCATCGTAGAATTACTTCTTGCTTTTTCGTTCACGCAACCTCATTGACGTTGTTACATCAATAAAACGCAGAAAAGAACATTGTTTATTTCTAACTGTTGATTGTGACAACAAACAGTAGCGTGAACACATTGTGATGACAGTAGAAAAGAACGTGCAAAGAGTTGTGCTCCCTAAACTCGACACGAGGAGACTCGTCGAACAGGTATACATGAAGGCAACGGCTAATTGGTGGTGAACGAGAAATGCATGAGGCATAAAGAGTACCATAGCAAATCAAGGTTTAGGAAAGAAAAAACAATGAGGTGACCTGTGATTGATGTCGTAAATGCATTGAAAAAGAGATACATGGAACCAACGGAGGCCGCATCGCAGAGGCTGAGCAGGAAGCTTTTTGATAGACTATGGTCTATGCATCCGAGCCCAATCTGCCCTGTCTTGAATTTCTAAAAAAAAGTGGATTTGAGGTACGAAAAGACTACGTGTACCCTTTGAAAGTGTCAGTTTTTTTGATGAAGGCAATAGTACCTGGCGTCTTCATTGCAAGACTGAAATTTAGAAGTAAAAGTAGTCGAAACTGTTGAAAACTTACAGTGATTCTGAAATGTAAATTCGGAGTGATTATTACACCAGAGAGAGTTCTGCTCGGAAAGAATGTTGAATTTCTTGTAGCGCTCGTTGGCTGATGATGACCAAAAACTAAAAAGCTATAAAGCTAAAAGAATCGTTCAAGGAAACTCACCTATTTGCGCGAATTTTTCAATGCACTCAATGTACCCTTGCAGTTCGTCGTTTAGACTAGTGAACCAGTAATTAAAGGTGCTATTTGCAAGGTGCTATTCGCTTTGTGACCGCCACGCGGTTTCTCGCTATTGCAGATTTTTGAATTGGGCTTACGTTTCTTTATATATTAAATTTAGTGCATTCGAAGGAAAATTTTGAAAACTAGTTTTTCCAAAGAATACATAAGCTTTTGAACCAGTAAGTATTGTACTGATGGATTACGATAGTCCTGCAAATGTGGTTTAGGATATGTTTAGAATGCGAATGTGCCTAATTCCAGATTTAAGATGGATTTGGCGCGTAAATCTTCAAAAGTTTTCATTTTGTAGTTTATAAGCATGCTAGTTGGCTTCCCCGGTCCAGCCCGGCCTATTGTTCAGAGGGGACGAAGTACCCTCGTTATCAACCCATATGTCTTCCCTCAACATGACGTGAATTATCGTCCCCTCCACAGATCGTGCTACCCTTGTGGCGTCGCGGACGTGCCACGTGTGACTAACACATTGGCAACGGTGGCAGCAACACGTTGGCAACATGCAGCAACATGTTGGCGTGGCCAAAATGTTCTGCCAATACGTTAGGGCATGTTGCAAAAATGTTGTTGCCACGTTGCCAACATGTTAGCCACACGTGGCAGGTCTGAAACGCAGACCAAGGGTAGCACGATCTGTGGAGGGGACTATACGTGGATTGACGAGGCGTCACCTCGCTTCGGGCTCGCGCCACGTTGCGTGCGCATCTTCGGCATGGTTTGGCAACGAGAACAACGTGGAGAAGCCTGTGCCATGTTGTTTCGAGCGCCACGTCGCGCCAAACGATGCGCACGCAACGTGGCGCTAGCCCGAAGCGAGGCGATGCCTTATCAATCCACGAAATCCACGTCATGTTGAGGGAAGACATATGGGTTGATATCGAGGGTAGATGCTACGGTTGCCAGCAAGATTATCGCATTGCGAAACCCTTTCCCTCCTTTTCCATGTTATGGATGACTTAGCTTGCGGCATCAACTTCGACTCACCGCGTCCTCGTGATCCTGCGGTGGAAATAAGCTGCACCGCCCTCCTTTACATGACTATGGGAAAATGCTTGATTAAACATGGTAAGCCTTCTTCTTCTCAGAAAAACGTAAACAAATCAATAAATCGACAGAAGCTCCAACAAATCGCCGCAAAAAGTAGCCTATTATCTGCACAGGGGTCGAAAACATATGTGTGCAAAGTTTCAGCTGAATCGGTTGAGCGGCGCGCGTTTATATAACGATAGTCTCCAAACCGACAATTTGGAGTTCATTAATATACAGGGTGTCCCCAAAAATTGTGCACACTGTTTGATCGTTAGTAGCTTTCCTGCTTTCATGTCTTTTGCCAAGCTTGAGGCGCTATTCTGTAGACCGAGGTTCAGCTTAGATTTGCAATTTGCAGCGAATGATCGATTACTCTTCATTACTGTAAGACTACGGTAGAAACTCCAAGGAGGATTTTAAGCCATTGAAAGCGGTTTTTTACCGTTTCTTTTTGCCTCAGAAAAGGAAACAAGCCAAAAACTCTTGTACTAAACTAGTAGAAGTCGTTAACTCTAAGTATGAAATTTGCACTTCAGCATTGTGCTTCTTTCATAAGTTATTTCAGATTTAGGGTAACCATTGTTCTTCAAATGTTCGTCAGAAATGTGAATACGCCGTCAAGAAAGCTCGAAAAACTCATGTAAATTCATGTAGTGAAATCAGCACGCTTAAAAACCTTGCCACACAAATTTTCAGATTTTTGAAATTATTTCGTCAAAAAGCCTATTCCACAGTGACGCTCTATGCTGAAAGTACCGTAATCCTACAGCAATGAAGAGTGATAAGTGATTCGCTCCATACTGTAAATCTAAGTTGGATCTCGCTCTACAGAATGGTACTTCAAGCTCGGCAAAAGACATGAAAGTAAGAGTTATTAACGATCAAATAGTGGCACATCTTTTTGGGACACTCTGTATATCAATCATTTTCTGACTAACAACATGAGACACGAGCACACTTTGCGTACATCCATTAACAGATTCATTAATGAGTTTCAACTCGGTTTGGTGTTTGTGAAAGAACATAGGTGAGCTTACTATTTCACGCTTGCTTTCCTGATAGTAATTAACCAAAACGCGTTACTCATTCATGACTTGTTGAACGAACGTACGTAAAACGTGCTCGTGTCTCTTAGTCAGAGAATGAACGATAGATGAGCTTTCATTTTCGCATATTAGGTCGAGCTATTCAAAAAGATCCATCATTTGCAAATGTTAATCGTAAAATTTTTAGAATCGATAGCGGGTGTGATAATTTGTGTTACAATCAACGCATGTCTGACAGTAGAATACATAACTTTGGCTATTGCAGCAACAGCAAGCTTCTAGTTCGAAAATCACCAGTACTTCCTTTTGAAGCTTCTATTTTGAGAAACAAAACTTATTGAAAATGGGGTAGAATAACCTGTAACACCAATTTCTTCAATACGGGCGGCTCATAAAAAGCTCGCAATCGTATACGTAGGGTTTAGAGAGGGGAAAACGAGAAATCAGTCAACGTTTCCCGGTGCCCGTTTGATTCCCGCAATCGTCAGGGTCGGAACGCAGTGTTGCCACGAAAAATGTGATTGTCTGCGGAGTGGTCTCACGACTTTCCATCATACATGGCGCCTGAAAGTATGTACACATCGTTTGTTTGTCAATATCTGCCTCTCACAAGCTTTCTGGCAAACTGAGAATCATTCTGTGAAGCTGTATCAGTCAAAGAACTATCTTCAGTTATATAGGATTACGATTTACTCGAAAAAGAGTTCAGAGAGCCACATCTTACTGCAGATAGCAAACCAAATAAGCTAAAAACGTTTAGGCCTAGGGCACAGCTCACGCAATAGCAACCACTGCGCAATTTGGCTCTGCAGCGACTGCCCAGAACTGTTTCTAATGTGCTTTGCTTGGACCAACTTCGCGCTTTTGCGACAATTTGACTTTGAGACCTGGCGGTGGCAGTTGCCACCACCAACTTTAAAGGACTGTAGCTTCACCGCGACAACATATCTCTAGCACTTGTTACAGTAGATTTGAATGGCCTAATGCTTTCTAACGCATCGCCACTCGAACTTCTGTTCGTAGTGCGCTCAAAATCAGAATCAATTGTGCACGAAGCAACAATGGATCGCGCTCGAATTCGAAATCCGATAGGTTAGTGCTAATTTTCTTTTAGAACATTGTGTTCTAATTTATTGTTTTGAGTTCATATGCGTTGTCCCTTTGCCATCACTTTCGGAATTGTTGTACGCAGTTGCCACCGGTGGGCTATAGTAGCACTCTAGTGGGAGGGATTTTATTCAGAAGATGGACCGCCAATGAGCTTCGAAGGGAATCTGACTGGTATATTTCAGTAAATCACCTTAAGAGAAGCCGCGGCCGCCAACATCGGCGAAGATGATGTTGACGAGGAGTTTGGAGAAAAAAGCGACGAAAAAGAGCACGAAGATGAGAATAGGAGAGTGTCCTGGTACCGCGGAAGCAAAACGAGGAAGACCGTGCCCAACACTCTAAAGATCATGAATGCACCTATCACCGTTCCAGCAAAACGCATGGCCCAGAATGAGACCACTCAATGAAATTAGATACGACAACGTCGGACATTGGCAATACATGAAAATGGTAACGAACAACGATGTAAACTAGGATCTTGTAAAGGACGTTCGCGAATTCAATGTGAGAAATGTAAGGTTTCTCTTTGCATGACGAAGCAATTGCTTTAGAACTTTCCGTTGTAAATAAGTAAGGTGTAATAAAAGCTGTTCCACCAAACCCATTGGTGGCGAATGCCACCATTTTGTAATTTCTTACTGTATGGTCGAAAATATTCCAAACTTTACTGAAGTGTTATTTATGTACCTACAAGTAAAAAACAATGAGAGAAAAATTCCTTCCTTACGGGGAATCAGGTCCGAAAGGGTTAAAGAAGCTAATCGCCTGTGCATTTGGGAACCGCGCACGGTTACTCTGTGGACGTCTAGCAAATCGCCAAGTCGCGTGGATGTATTGTATACTTTGGCAGGCCTCCTAAGCTGTGAAGGAGTTCGACGTTTCCAGTCTCGGGCGGATGCCTAGCTAACAGCCGGCCAGGCCATATCCACCGCCGTCTGGTTCTTTTGGTCGCTAGGCGGTCCTCCCCGTTTTACATCCGGGGTCACAATTGCCCCGTGGAAATCAAGAGTAGGCTTAGTAAGTCTGCTCTTGTAGGGGAAAAGATTCATTACTCCGTCAGCAAGAAGAGATAAAATAAACCCTATTCATCGGATCCCGCCTACGGTGCTCGGTGGTAGCAAGAACGATGGCAGGGTCCTCAGGGCGCCTTTTGGATTGAACAAAAACGACACGTCTGCCCGGACGACATGCCATGGAGACTGCCTCATGCTCTGCACCTACAACGCCAGGACAGTTTCCACAGACGCCAACCTCCACATTCTTCTCGACGCTGCAGAGCACATCAAGTACCACGTCATAGCTCTGCAGGAAACGAAGTTCAGGAAGAAGGACGTGCGACAGATGAGTGATGGGACCCTCATCATTCGTAGTGAAAAGGTTCCTTCACGAAACGTTGGAGGCGTTGGCTTTGCCGTCCACCCCTCTATCGTCCATCTTCATGAGATTCTGTCACCACGACTACGACCTCCACGTCAGAAAAACGATTCAGAACTAGATGGTCTCTACAAAGACGTGGAGCAGGTCGTCCGCAACGAGAATCCTTCTACAAGTTCGTTGTGGGCGACTTCAACGCGAAGATCGGGATGCCACTAGAAGAGGAATGTAGGATCGAGAAGTTTGGATATGGGCTCCGGAACGAAAAGACCGTCTCATTGGGCTTCTCTCCGCAACACGACTTTTCCATAGAAATTCCATTTTCATAAAGAAAGAACATCGCCGGTGGACATGGGAATCGTGCAACGAAATGACTCATACGGAGATCGACTACATTCTCACCAACCGAAGGTGGAGCTTGCTTGATGTCTCAGTAGTTCCATCCTTCTGTAGTGGCTCCGATCACCGCCTCCTTTGAGAGAAGATACGACTCAGCCGAAGGCTGGACTGTCACAGTGCCGCGAAAAGGAAGGAAGTTGTTTATGACGGTAACAGGCTGGAAGAGCTCATATCAAGTTGTGACTAGTGCATCAAGGGAGGATTCAACGTACGACTACCACCGGCTTCTGAAAGGATTGCGAGCTTGCGGAGAGTGCTTCTGAGAAGAACTTGGAATGCATTTCGAAGACCACCAAGGAATTGCTCGAAAGAAGAAGACTTCTGAGGCAGGATCCGGGTGCAACACATCTCGAGCGATTGATAGCCAACGCCACTTGCAGAACAACTTTGCAGGAGGATCTCAGGAAGTACAGGCAAGTCAAGATACTGGAAGCAGCCGAAGATAGACGAAGTCTCAAGAAGTGCCGAAGGGGCCTTTGTGAATATCACGTGCCGCTGGCTGCACTATTAAACGAAGACGAGACTCCGACTTCTTCCCGATACAAGATGGAATCTATCGCGAAGAACTTCTACACCAACCTCATCCGCTCATCAACACCCGTGCCGATGCCCGTCGTTCCCACTGGAGAAGTATCACCACGAATTCTACCCGCTGGAGTGCACATGGCGATTTAGACGATGAAGATGTTCACGGCTCCAGCGCCAGCCACCTTTCCGTCGAATTTCTGCGAGCCGGAGGACAACGTCTAGACGAGATTCTCGGTCGCAGCTGACATCTTACCTTCAAAAGGAGAGGATTCCCGACCAGTGGAGAACGTCAAGAACCGTCCTTCTCTTCAAGAAAGGTGAATGGGAGGATTTTCGGAACTATCGTCCAATATGCCTGCTGAGTGTGCTGTACAAGCTTCTCACGAAGATTATCCTCGCTCGCATATCTAGGACACTGGATGAAGCCCAACGCCAAGAACGAGCTGACTTCGCAAAGGATTCAGCTGCATGGACCACATCCAGACCATTTCGAGGGTCATAGAAGTCTGCCATGAGTACCGACTGCCTTTCGTCCTAACCTTTGACACGACTACGAGAACGCCTTTGACAGCGATGAAACCAACGCCATTCTATCCCTCTAGTCGATCAAGGAGTGGACCAACTTACGTGAGAACGTTAGCAGACTGCCACAAGGACTGTACAACGACGATGCAGCTATTCCATGGCCCCCTTGACCATACCAATTGGGAAGGGGGTCCAACAAGGCGACAAAATCTCGCCTAAGCTGTTCACCGCGGTCTTGCAGTGGGTGATGAAGTCACTGGACTGAGACGAGAGAGGCAAACGAGTTGATGGGAAATTCTTGTCGAACGTTCGTTTTGCGGACAACATCGTTCTCTTTTCGAGCAGTATCACTGAAGCAGAGACGAAGCTGAAGGATCTGAACGAAGTAGCAAGAAGATCGGATTGCGAATAAATCGGAAGAAGACTCAGTTCATGAGGGACGCCCTTTGCGAAGATGCAGAAATGGAATCGGAAGGCATCCCCATTATGGAGAAGTCTTCTTACGTGTAACTCGGACGTTCGATGAACATGGAGAACGACTTGAAGGAAGTTAACAGGAGAAGAAGATCAGCCTGGGCCGCCTTTGGGCCCCTGAAGGAAGCCACCAACCAACTGACGGACCCGGAGCTTTGTGCCCACCTGATCGATTCAACCGTTCTCCCGGCACTCTGTTACGCAGCTGAGACTTGGGCCGACACTGTGGCCACGTCGAAAGCTTTACGGACCACCCACAGAGCGCTCGAGCGCAGTCTTCTGAGACCCCACGCAAGCAACATCTAATCGGACTTTGCAACGGATATGAGAAGATCTTCTGAAGATGACCCCACGCAAGCAACATTTAATCGGACTTTGCAGCACGGATATAAGAAGAATGTCCCGTCTTCGTGACCCAATGCAATACGCTGCGAAAGGATGAGAAGAACAGACGACAGATGGACACTGAGAACACCTGAGTGGATTCCTCGCGAAGCCAAATGTCGCCGAGGAAGACTACCGACGAGATGGGCACATGTTCCTGGAATGGATGGACCAGCTGATTTCTCAGCTGGATACGAATTTCGATCCTGGTTGTTCGTGGACGCCGCCACGGACGACAACCAAGAAGATCATGGATGTCTGAAGCGAGGGACAGGGATCAATGGCAATTTCTGTGCCGGGGGCCCCCACATACGTGAAGCCGGGCCATCTAAGTATTGAAGTAAATAAAGCTTCTATATACAGTTTGTCTTGCACGCTTGCAGCATGACGACTGAACAAATTAATTCGGCACATTTCAAGTGGTGTCCAAGAATTCTCTTGCTAGCTGACTGAGATGTTCTGCAACGATAACGAAACAATCCTATAAAGTAATAATATGAGCATTTAGTGGATAGTCTAATTCGAGAAAAGTCAAAATTTAGCACAAAGAACATTATAGAGTAGATTCCCTATCGCAGCTGAGTATTCATTGCTCAAGTCTTTGTTTACGACATCGGAGATACTAAAACCTCGCTTCATTCTTGTGTCCCCCCCCCACTGCAAAATAAGGAATCGAACTTATTTTCTCCTCTTTAAAAGGCAGCCGCTCTTTGGCTAAATGATGGGTGAAAACATTTGCTCCTCTTTTTTGGTTGAAATGTGATGGAAGTTGTAATAACAAACTCCATTTGGATTTAACTCGGAGTCATCGTACTCGATTATTTCACTTTTGTTAATCAACCAAAGTCTCCAATCATTTACTTATTCCATTTCCATTGATTACGAAGGTTCTTTCTTATTTACTTAATTCACTATCATCGATCATCAAAAATGTTATCTAATTACTTACACTTCCACTGATTATCAAAGTTCTCAGTTTTTTACGTACTTTTATTGGTTATCACAGTTCAAGCATTCCTGGAAAATCCGCACAAACAACGAAATTGAGCTTTCAATTCATCGCACTTCATCACTTTAGTTCAATAGCGGAATCAAATCCCTAGCAGTTTGATAGTTTTCATACAGTAACAGACAAACTGCTTTGGTGTATATGCGATCGTACACAGGTTTTTACTCATCGCAAACAACTTTTTTTCCTATTGTCACGATATCGTAACGTGTTTTTTTTTTGAATGCATGTCTCTTTGTATGGTACAAAATGGAAATTTTAATGCGAAAATCAAATGTTGAGGTGCATAGATATTTTTTATTTTCGTACTAGCACTGCACTGCAAAAAATCATGTTCATGCTGTGCTGCCTTTATATCATTTGGCGTAATTGAGACCTTCCTGATGTTGCCTAAGCAGCCGCGTGCTGAAATGTACGTGAAGAAAGAAATATTGAAAAGAGTCTGTCATGTGATAACCTGGTTTAGTAAAAATCCAATATTAGCATTATGGAGATTGAAGACAGTGTTCACTTTGGGAGAGATAGTTAAATGCGATGTAGAGCATCATAACAGAAGTGTTGCGGGTAGAACAGGAGATACGTCTCACCTGTATATAAAAAAAGCTGAGCCATACTGTTTATGGCCTATACAAGGTGTCCCAAAGCAAGCACACACTTAATCCTTGATAACTCTTTCCACAAAGCCTTTCTCTTGACATTAAAGATCTTTGAGGA